ATGATGATGATGATGATGATGATAATTCGGATGATGATGATGATGATTCGGAGGACGATAACTTATGTGATGATGTTTGGGTTGATCATGATGATTCGGATGCTGCTGCTGCTGCTCATGATGATGATGATGATGATGATGATGATGATGATGATGATGATGATGTTGCTGAAGTGTACACCTATTGATTGAATATTTCCACCGTGACATTATGAAAACACTGTAGGTTCAATGCTTGTTTTCCATACCTTCATCCTTGGCCTAATAGATTGATTTATATGGTTCAAAATTATCACATTGTCAGATGTGATGAATATGATTGGATGATTGTAATCTTGTGATGTGTTTTGAAATGTGTGGGCATTGTTGTTGTTGTTGTTATTGTTGTGCGGTTCGGAAATGTTCACAGTTGGTGGTTATTGTGAGCTGTTTCATTTCCGGTGTGTGCTCTTGGGTCATGACAAAGTTCACGGTGGTTTCAGTCAGCTGTGTCAGGTTGTGGCCAAAGGAACGGACTGAGTAGGCGAACGGCCACCGCCTCGGGTGTAGCAAGGTGTCGTTGACGAACAGCTTTTGATGGGTGTGCTGGTACTTTGTAGATCACCTTGAAAGCATCGCCGTTTGCCTATTGCCTCGTGGCTGCAAGGTGTTCTACCACCGCACTTGTAATCGTTTTCCTTATGCCCGTACTCAGCCACGCCGCTTTGTGCTCCTTGATTCTTTGAGACCATTGCCTGATCGTTCCGAACATGAGCAAGTAAAGTGGTAAATGATCATAGATGAGGAGAGGATAGGCAATGTATCTTTAAGATTTACGGAAATCAATTATCGGCTTGTGAATTGAGTGCGTAGGGTTGCAGCAGGGAAAGTGCGAGCGATAGCCTTTCCTAATCGGCGTCTCAGTAACTCAGATTTGTAATCTCCTTTAAAAAGCAGTTTTATGAGTAGTTCTCTCATTTTCACTGTTATCAGTGATGCCGTTCTGTCAACTTCTTCGGAACAAATCGTTCCGGTTAGCCGTTGTCAAACAGTGTTTGCTTTATACTTTCCAGTTCCTGAGACAAACAGCCTGCTGAGCAAATTCTCCTGGGTCGATAAGCAATTTGAGGTTTGAACCTCATTATACATTGTTTTGTTTTTTTACATTCATACAGCTGCTTCTGAATGGGTCATGTCCAGTGTCAAATTCATTCAACCACTGCCCAACAGTCGGGATTTTAATGTACGCTAAAACTTTTCCCTGTGATAGAAACAGGGATAATGTGGCTGCCTCGACACTGATCATCAGTGGTTAGGTTGTGGTGTGTATTAGAAGAAACTGGCTAGTTCTGTTGGATAGTGCATTTGGTAGACTCCATGCGAAAGCGACTGCCTTCGGTGCTTAAAAATGAAGAAGAGTAAATAGAACGTGGACGAAATGAAAAGTACAAGACCTGTCTCAAGTCTTATGGTTATTTTGATAGATACATTCTAGTTACTTTTTTCACTGTAGTTTTGTTATTTTGCAAATGATGCACCAGCAATCGTCTTCAAAATCGAGAAATCGTACATATGAGTGGCATTCGACTGATCCGAAGTCAAACGATAAATGGGTATCATCATGGC